AATGATCTGGTATCCAAACATCTCTCTGTGTTTGGGAGACTGTATTCAGACTTTCCTAGCTGTTTATTTGGTCTGTCTGATCATGAAAAAAGCCTGAAACTATACAAACTCCATGGCTGTGCTGCATGGCATAAAAGTTTCAAATGCTGTTGGTCCACTGTGAACTAGGAAGAAACTATTGATAGGCACAGGACATTGGTTAATGAAAACGCCAATTGTCTGGCCTGACACCAGGGTGAGTCTTTTAAGGCCAGAACAAATGCCCTCTCCACCTTCGAGATAATAAAACATTTTTTCTGCTTGCACTCTCTTCCCACACCTAGGAATTCTGGAAGAAAAAAAGGATCTTTCCCCCTGCAGTTCATTGGCCCACCCTTTCTCCTCAGTTCCTCCATCCTGGTCCCCCAAAGGGTTACACCTCTCGGCAAATCAGTCTTGAGCTCCAGACCCGGAGACTGCAATCTTAGGGTGAGGATTTACATTACAAATTATTAATGGTTATCATTTGTATTACTGCTCCTGTTGCCTTTTGAGGAAGGAAAGTAGATCTTTGGTTTACTACATGGAAGATTTAAGAGGGATTTTTAGCCCTGCCAGGTGTGGTTCAGAGGTTGAGCATCGACCTAGGATCCTAGGCGATTGGGGTTCGATTCCCGGTCAGGGCACATGCCCGGGTTGCAGGCTCGATCCCCAGTCGGGGGCATGCAGGAGGCAGCCGATCAATGACTCTCTCATCATTGATGTTTCTCTCTCTCTCCCTCTCCTTTCCTCTCTCTGAAATCAATAAAGAAACATTTATTTTTTTTTTAAAAGAGGTATTTTTACCCAAAATTATTTTGTGTTTTTAAGCAAACTAGAAAAAGGGAGCATATATAATTTATTTTTGTACTTTCGCTGCTGTTTCCTGGGGGGAATTTTTCCTCCCTTCCTTCTTTCCTTGCTTTCTCTCTTTTATCCTACATACACTTAGTAGAAATTTGGGCTAATGGATAGGGAGTTGGATATATCTATTACCCAATACAGGGTAATCCCAGTGCATTTTTAGCCAACAGTGGCTTACAAAATAATTGCTGATTATTTTTTCTGCATTTAGTACGTAAGCCACAGCCAAAGTTGCTAATCATCAAAGCAAATAGTTAGATGTCTCTCCTCAGTCCATCCCCAGTTTATCAGACTAATAGCTTCCTACCAAAGAGGAGGTGTGTGTCTTATGTGCAGGGGTGCTAAACATACAAATAAGGGCACTCCTATTTTGTTTTCAAATTATTTCCTATTCCTAAAAATACATATTGTCATTTGAACTCTGCATGATTAAAAAGAACATTTAACTGAGCTTAAGCTCATTTAAAGTAACTGGGCTCCTTTCACTTCCCCATCTTTCTTGGACTTCAATCCCCTCCCACCCATGTTCACTCTGCCTAGTGTAGGTAATTTTCTTTGACAAAGAGGCTGGACACGAGTAGACTTTTGTCGCTTCGGGGTCCCCTCCCCGGCTAATGGTCTACCTCATCTGCATTCTTTCTCACTTTCTCTATTGCTTTTCCAAGCGCATTCCATTCCCAACTTTGGCCTCCTCTGGCACTTTCTAATATTTGGTGCCATTTTCACATGTCTTGTATTATGACTTTTCTTCCATCTTCTACTCACCTCTCTTCCCTTGTAATCAGACCTTCACATGCCCTAAAAAGTAGAGGTTTTTTTCTTCATTGGTAATCCTGCCTCTTTCAGATCTTCCTGTAGTCATATCAAAGACCATCTTGCCAAATGGCCGCGTGATTAAACCTCGTGTCAAGTAATACAGGGGTGGGCAAGAGCAGGTTTACAATCGTTCATGTTCATTATTGTATTATTTCCCACACGAATCACTGTAAAGCTACTTTTGCCCCACCCTGTACAATTAGTCTCCAAAAGCTGATGTCTTTTGGCAACTGGTAGGAACCCTGACTATCCGTATCCACAGAAATCTCGACGCTCCTGGGTGATCTGACGTTTCTCCCCCAGGCCGTGGGTATGATTCCAGATGGGGGTTTTGTTCGTACCTGCGCAGGAAGAAGCTATGTGTGGGCACACGGAGAACCGCAGTGGGCATTCAGAATACTCTGTACCACTCGATATTAGTTTCTGATATCTCTATAATGCTTGACTCTTAAGTCTTAGCTTTAAAAAAAATGAAATAATCAGCTTTGATTGGCCATGCTAAAACTACTTTAAATGTTTTAAAACCATGCCTTAAAAATGTCCCCACACCACTTTGACTATGTAAGAGGCTCGGGTACTTTAAGAAAATGTTTCTGGAAGACCAGCTCTGAGGCCGTGTGTGAGCTGAAGCCAAAGCTAAGCCATTACTAAGGGAATCCATGTCCCTGGGATACTAATTAACTCCAAATATCGCATATAAATTAAGCTAGCGGCTATAGAGAGAAGCAGCTTGTGGGAGAGGAAAAACTAAAGAGGTTTAAAAGAAAGTACTGTCTTCTAATTGGAGAAAAAAAGACATCAGGGGCATAGGGGGAACCTTTTTCTCTCTGTCCCAGCATTCTACTCTTTTCTAGAAGCTTCCATCCCTTTTCCTTTGTCTTCCTGTCCCCACTATGACAGGTGTAATTTTTCGGATAGCCCTCTAGTGAAAGGGCCTCTGCCTGCAGGAGCCCGCTCTCCCTTCTCTCTGGAATACGGAATTTCTCTGGGCCGATGCCCTGCTAGCTGTGCACTCAACCTTGCCTGGGCATGAGCATGCCCAGCGTCTCCCCAGAGAGTCTGATTCGCTGGGTCCGGGGCAGAGCCTTGGAATCTGTATGTTTAACAAGTGTCCTGGGTGATCCTTATGAGTTTGGGAAACACCGCCTCCCCCTCTGAGAATGACAGTCCCCGTCCCTGCAGTGGGACCCTGCTGTCCTGATGGAGTAATTCAGTTCAGAGGGCAAGGTGGCAGCAATGGAAGCTGCAGCTATCACCCCCCCCCCTTTTCCAGACAGCTCTGTTTGTTTCACTGTTAAATGTTTTAAGCTTAGTTATTAGAATAAAGAGCTGACTCTGTATTTTTAATGTGCAAATAGAAGCATATGGATCATTTATCTTAGGTAAACCCATCAGTGCCTGATCTGCTACTTTTAATCTGGACTAGGTTGGCCCGCACCCCCTCTGGTGGCAGCACCCTATCCCCGGGCTGTATTACAAACACGACAACCTCTTCTGATGCTCTTACATCATCTAAACCACCCATTGAAAATTACTGTCCCAAAGCCACTGGAGCAAAGAAAATGGTCAAAATGGACCTACCAGTTGAACTATCCACAGAATCTTCTAGTCAACCCAGATGTTTACAAAGGTTTGTAGAAAAAAAAAAAATCTGTGGTCTAAGTAAACTCTTTTTCTTTAAACCGTCACCTGTTCCAAAAAGGACTGCAGAGACATTTCTGCTCAGGCCTAAATGCACATGCATGTCATCCCCATAGCCCTCTGGAAAAAATGAAAATATATTACTTGTGACTTTATTATACTATAGTTCGAGGTTCAACCTATTAGCCACGGTCTATTTAAGACTGAAGAGTAGTAGCTCAGGGCATTAATATCACCCAGGTGTTGCTCAATGAAGTGGCCTATTGTGTGTCCCCTATAAACAGCTTGTCAAGAATGAAAGACAGTAATGTCACATCATGCTTGCCTCCTCCTAAATTTGGGAGTACTTACAGCAAAGGGCTGCTCTTAGAAAAGGAAAACATACCTTATGCAGTATCAAGATGTCTCTACTCAAAATTACAAATTACTTATGAGTGTCACGATGCTGGATTCTATTTTTAAAACTGACCTTGAGCTGATTTATCAACTGCTAACTTCTACTTGACTGTACAGAGCTCTTCATTTCTCTTGATCAATTTCACACATTTGCTTACATCTTTTAGCAAAAATGGATTCAAATTACTTGATGAAAACAACGTCATAAACCACCTATCATTCAAGAATGGATTCTGGAAATATCTCTCTATTAATTCCACAGAGGTGATACTTAAATTTATGTGATTATAAAGGAAATTGCTGAGGTAGGAGAGGAGAGAATGTGTGTGAGTAGGAGAGAAATTAGTAAGCCATTGTTCATTTAGCAAAGGCAGATGCTGGTATGAAATGTTTCTGTCTAAGCAGCTATTTCCTTAGAACCTTGGTTTTAAGGAAGGACTCTAAAGGTCACTGCTTCCCCCCAAGTATGTGGAAACAGCGCTGAACTGACCAAGTGGGTTCCAGTTCTGATTCTTCCTGGATGAAACTGCATAATCATTTCCTTTCTCTGCTTCAGTTCTGTCTTCAGTTGAAGGGGAGATTAAAACCATATACCGCACAGCTACTGTGTGAGGTAGGACATAACTGCACAACTTGCCTTATATAGAGAAGAACAGGCTCTAGTAAACGTGAACAAGTCCACCAGAGTGTAAAGCACTACAGTGTTGTTAGTAACCTTTCTTCTTCCATGGAAATGAACCTGCTCTTTACCCAAACACTCGACTTACTGAAAGTCCCAAATACCCATATTCAAAAGATAAGGCAAGAAATTCCATTCCAAGGGGAGTAAGAAATTACCTGACACAGTCCAACATCCCTGAAGTGGGGTGCTCTGGGAGAGGCTGGTTTTTCATAAGCTTCGTTGTGTACCAGAGCTCTGGCCATTGAGCCTGCTTCTACCAGAAAAGGTCCCGTTTTCCTAATAACACTAAAGAAAGACCAATGGCAGCCCAACCCTTTCATGACCAAGACCACAGGTATAGAAAAGCAACGCTCTGAGTAACTCAGAATAGTGGTCGTGCAGGCACAGAGCCAAATGGTAGAGAGAAGTGCTCTGGAAGCTTACCTCCCTCCTGTTCTTCCTGATTTTCTCATTTCTTTTTGATAAAGTCCGACAGCACACAAAAAGGACATTTCACATCTCTTAATGATAAACGTGTAAGAATCTATTGACAGGTCTGTTGGACTCGGTTACACTACTTAAGAAAGCAAGCGTACACTAAGACTGAGAGTCAATTTAATGTATATTTCTGGTGCATTTTTTTCCTTGCCAAGAATAAGAATAAACCAGAAAAATAATAAAACTGAAATACATAATGCAAGATACATACAAATCTACATATAATCCTCACGATTTTCTTGACGAAAAAGACTTCATTCCGAGTTGCTGCTAGTTTTGATGATGCAAATGTGTTATGTACCACGGCCCACAAGCCTACGGTTTCAAGTAGGTAGAGAACAGTCATTACAAGTTATTCTTTGTTCAGATTTCTATTTCTGAGTAAAGCATGCCTTGGTAGCAATAATTGTTATGCTTAGTGGAGGTAACCCAAAAAAAGGAAAAGAGGCTGTGGAAAAATACAAAATATTTACTCTACCTAACCTAGCAACTCCTACTGAACAACATGTACCCTGCATATTTATGAGGTGCAGCCTGTGGTTGTGGAAAATTCACTACAGAATTAAAACCAACAACTGCATATTACATTTAGTATACAGCATGCCTTCTGCTCAGTGCAAGAAAAATCTACTACCCGGCAGGTAATAAGACTGGTGGCCTGACAGTGGCAATGTGGCGGGATGTTCTTTTTTTTCGCCCTCAAATAAAAAATAAAATAATAGCATGGTTGACTGTCTCAATTAAATTCCAGTCCAATTCAAAACTCATCTTCAGAGCTGTCAGCTAAGAGCATTACTCGGTCTTGCATGCTGTTGAATTCTCTCTGCTAGAGAAAGAAAACAGAAAAGCATTAAAACTCTTGCTACAGAGCAAAGCCGAGGGACAGGCCCCCTTGGAAAGGCACACTAATGAATGAATGAAGCCAAGGCATCATTAAGCCTTGTGTGCTTTAAAAAGCAAATTAAAAAAGCAAAGGATGTTCTGAAACTGATGAGGTTTGGCTGTCGTCGGTTCCATACCTTTCTTTTGTGCCTTTTGAAGCCATTTCTCCTCCTGCGGTTCATCACCTTAATGCTGTAGAGCGCTCCCAAGATGAACAGGGCTCCCGCTATGCCCACCCCCACAGGCACCAGCATCCCAGACATGTAGCCGGCCTGCGGAGAAAAAGAAACCCGCATTAGGCCTCTCCCCGGACCCCTGCCCTGGGGTCCTCATTTCTGCTGGGTGGCAGCAGGTTTTTAGACACTGTGAATCCTCCCGTCTGTTTCATTATAAAATGCAATAGCATCTAGAATAAATGCTATCTGGGGGGAGAAGGCAAAGAGAGAGAGAGGCATGATGACTCTTTTGGGATATTTCCAATACTTGGAAGTATTACCGTAAATCAGCCAGACCTAGTGGCACCTCCAGGCACCTGATTATGCACATTTGTCAACATCAGGTTTGGGTGGCAGAAATATAATTTGTATTAAAGATGGATGAAGTGAGCTTCACAGGATGCCAGGACTGTTAAAACGCTATCAATTGGAAATGTCAGCCTGAGTGGAGCTCTGGGGCGAGGCGGGGAGGGGGCGGGGGGAAGCGCCCTCTGGAGTGCTGTGTCCCTTCGAGGGCACGAGGACAGCCCTGACACTGGGGGTCTGCTCTCTCACGGTCCTAGCGGCATTGCAGTAGAAAGGAGAGAGGCGTGTGCTTGCGAGTGAGTGAGAGGCGAGGGCTCTGGAAACAGCAGGGAGAAGGACCCGCAAGGAAAGGGGAAGGGTGTCAGGTGTTGGAGCACAGGCGGGAAACAGGTGTGTGCACATGCAGAGGACGGACGGACTTCCATGAAAGGGATCATCTGCCCAGGGCGTAAGGCCAAAGCTGGGGGCTGGGATGGAATCCTGTGTGTCCCCAACCACAAAGAAGGGAAATGGCAGAGAAGGGCCTGAAGATCACCACCAACCCTGGCCAGTGTGGCTCACGGGTTAGAGTGTCGGCCCACTCACTAAAGGGTCTCGGGTTCGATTCTGATCAAGGGCACGTACCTGGGTTGCAGGTTCGATCCCTGGTCCTGGTCAGGGCGCATACAGGAGGCAACCAATCAACGTGTTTCTCTCATATAGATGTTTCTCTCTCTCTTTCTCTCTTACCTTCTCCCACTCTCTCTAAAAAAAATAAATAATCAATGGAAAAATTATCCTCAGGTGAGGATTAACAACAACAGAAACCACTGCCAATGACATTGGTACCTCCAAAAGAGCCTGGAGGTATCAAACCCATCCGGTCTCCAATGACCCCAAGGCGTCACTATGGATACCTTGACCCTAAGAAAGCAACGTGATCTCTACACACCCTTAGGCTTGGGTAAGTAGCTTCGGACCTACCCAAGCTCAGGGTAAGGGCATCACACTGAGGGTGCTCCCTGCATCTTGGCCAATAAGACACCTACGGGCTAGAGGAGTGCCCCTAAATAGAGCCCTTTCATGGGGGAACATGACACTGGTCTGCCTTCCAAGAAGGCCCTCTCTAGAAGCCTACGCAGACAAAATACATAAACAATTAAAATTTTAAGCGGTAATAAGTACTTCAGATAGGCATTATTTTAAGGGGGAAATATGAGTCCATTTATTTGACTATTTCTCAAATTTCTAATATAGTACAATTTCCAATATCTTTCAGAATGAGCCAAGAACAGAGAGAGACAGAGAATAAAAGTTTTCTGAAACGTGCTGAAATATGCAGTCTGTGATGTTTTCCCAACATTTTTAGAAGTAAATGAAAGGAATAGACAAGACTTCACAAAAGTGTACCCTCTTCTGCACAGCTGGCTCACTCACTGGCCCTGCTTCCCACAGCCTTGAGTTAGAGCAGACTATAACAATGTTCCCATCGATGTGAGAACAACAGCACTGTTCACCAGCATGCTAAGTGTTTTCTCCTATAGAAACAAAGCCCAGTCATTTTTCAACAAATCATTATGCTTTACATGGACCCAAGCTTTTCCTAAAGTTCTTCCAGATCTACTTAAGGCTTACAAAACTTTGTAATTTTCCATGCAGGAAAACACTGAACAATAGCAAGATTTGGGGACTGTCACCACAACTATGAATAATTTTAAAAAGATCACCATTCCCAGTGCACGGAAACATGTACATGTTGAAATATGATCAACTTTAAGCGCAAGAGACTGGACTTTGCAGAGCTGTACATTCAAAGCATGATGTCTGAGCTTTTCCAAGTTCAGCTTGATCAACTTCTTTGCCTGGGTTTCCTTATGCTATGTAACTTAACCCCACACCAGTAGCAGGAATATCACGACGTATGTTACTCTTGCCATATTTCTTAGTTACATATTTAGACTTCTTGTTTCTAGAGCTTTAACTTACGTAGGCTTCACAAAAATTCAGTTAATATCTCTCTCTTCCCCCTCTTCTCTTTTGTCTCCTCTTGTGTACACATGTGTGTTTCTATTAGTCTGTTTGTCCCTCTGTCTGTATGGCATCTGCTTGTGCTTTGAAATTACAAATAAATTACAAGATGGGAACAAAGGAACCTATCCCCTTCCAATATAATTTAACCATTCCTCTTTCAAAACTGACTAACTGAAAATAAGCTCTCCTTTTAGAACTGTCCATGACTTGTTTCCTGCAGAAATGAAGACAGAGAAGAAGCATGTACATATTTTGTAAGTTATAAATTCTGCCTACTACCTTTTCTCTGTTCAAAATTATTGTTTGTATATGTGCCTCCACATGTGACACCCTGAGGACACAACCGCACTATGTATATTCCAGCTGAGAATGAGCAGCTTGAATCTAATCATGAGGAAACAACCAAAAACCCTAAAATGAAGGATATTCTATTTAAAAAAAAAAAGACAATTCTTTTTCTTTAAATTTTTAAAAAATTCTTACTTTTTTAAATTTATTTTTATTGCTTTCAGAGGGAGAAGGGGGGAGAGAAAGAAACATCGATTTGCAGTTCCACTCATCCATGCATTCATTGGTTGCTCATTGTATGTGCCCTCACCTGGGATCAAACCTGCAACCCTGGGGCATCAGGATGATACTCCAACCAACTGAGCTACCCAGCCAGGGCAAAAAGGACTATATTCTTAAGGCATGTCAGTGCCACGAAAGATAAAATATGGCTATAAAAAATGTTTTAGCCTGGTCGGGCATGGCTCAGAGGTTGAGCATCGACCTAGGATCCAGGAGATCGCGGTTCAATTCCCGGTCAGGGCACTTGCCCATGTTGCGGGCTCAGTCTCCAGTCAGGGGCGTGCAGGAGGCAGCCGATCAATGACTCTCTCATTGATGTTTCTATCTCTCCCTTCCTCTCCCTTCCTCTCTCTGAAATCAATAAAGATATATATATTTTTTAAATGTTTCAAATTAAAGAAAACTAAAGAATCATGACAACTAAATGTATTACATGACCCTAGACTAGATCCTGTCCTGAAGGAGAAAACTTTTCATAGGGAACATTTTGGATTTATTAAAGAAACTGAAATATGGATGCCAGATTAGATAAAAGTACTTCATTGATGTTAAATGCACTCAAGCTGAGAGCTGTACTATGTTGGCTAACAGATGTTCCTATTTGTAGGAAATACACACAGAAATATTCAAGATAAAAGCACCATGGTGTATGCACGTTTTCCTCAAATGGTTCAAAATGGGGAGACAGGACCAGCAAATGATAAAACAAATGAGGTAAAATGTTAAAAACAAGCGCATTCAGGTAAAAAATATAGGGGCATCCTTTGTAATAGTCTTGTTCTTGTATCTTTTCTGTAAGTTTGAAATTGGTGGGAGTCTCAACTATTTTTCTTCCGATTTTTAAAAAGTAAAGGCATAGTTGAAACAGTTACCACAAAAGAAAATTAATAGAGGGCTAGAAAACTTCAAAATAGTCCAGAAAACTAAAGTCCATACATAAAATTATTTCTCCTGGTGAAAAGGAGGAAGGGAAGGTTCCAGGCCTTCGAGGCAAGAAGGGAGTGTCCACAGCAATAAAACATACAGTCTTTCTCTAAAGCTGCACAGATTTTTAATGGAGTAGCAAAGCTATATACGCATACACATAAGAAATTTTACAATATTCAACTTGAAAACAGGCTACAAGCCAAAATTTGTTTTAAGTCTATTTTTGTCCATTCTTGTAACCCAGAATATTCTCTATAGAAACAATGACATATGGATTCCTAAATTAAACTACCAAAGCCTGTTCACTTCTCATTGCATCCTATTTTTCCCTGAAAAATAACAAGAAGCGCTACCTATTAAATATATCCAGCTCTAAGCTTGTGAACGTTTCTTCTCCCAAAATCTTGTGCAGCCCATCGGATCAGACCTCTCCAGGCAACTGGAAGACCCTGTGTTACGGACACCAAAATGGCCTCTACTAACCTCAAAAGGCTTATAATATTTCAACATCCCTTCTAATATTCATAAACACCGTCTCATTCTCAAAAACCATATTTGCTAAATTCTCCTGAAAAGCAGAAAAATAATAGTGAGGAGAATTAACATAATTTATAATGGTAACCACAATTAGATCTTTTCTTTCATTCTTTAACATTGAGCTGTAGCAAAATAAATATTAACCATTCAAATATGGATAAAAATTGAGCCCAAGTAATAAAAAATACCATCAACAGAAGCTTATTCAAAGATGGGTGAATTAGAGGTAACTCAGTATCTGGCAGTTGCAAAGATTTTCATTTAACTAAACCCCCAGTTAAATCTGAGCTGGGCTTTAGTAATGGGATCTGACACAGGCTACAGCAAGGAATTCAAGATGCCATCAGTATTTTCATGAGTAATTCCAATTTAAAATTACTAAGGAACTAAAAATGAAAACTTGGACAGTGTTGAAAATCAAAAGAAAATGAAAAATATAAACCTGGGATGAAGTTAATATTGTCAATCACAAAGTAGATGGCAGAATTAAAGCAGGAGAGGGAAATATTTTTCTATAGTTGGCCCTTCCAGACAGGTCAGCCCATTATCACTTAGTAAGCAGTGGCACTGTGATGGACTACATAAAACTGGGGCTAAAGAGAGTGCTCAGCTCTTCAGGTGTTTTTCCCACCCCTGCCCCACTACAGTTTAAGGGTGCCCATTCCATCTCAAACTTTTATTCTTAAATCAAGTCTGCCCAGGGTCAGAAGAATCAACGCCTTTCAAAATCCAAGGTATTTATTTCTTCCTCATACAGGAAGACCAGGCTTAAAAGAGCCTTGCAATGGAACAAGAAATGCCCAATAGAATGGGATTACCATCCTGAAATTCCCTAGAAGGAGCTCCACTTTGATATCTCAAGGGTATTATTGAGTTGAGCATACTTCTTGTATAACACTTACTCTTTAGAGCGCCATTCATTCTCATGGCAACGTTTGATATGCTCAGTGATCAGGGGTTGCCTTAAGAATGAATGGTGCTCCAAAGAGTGTTATCCAAAAAGAAACTTAGAGGGCAGACCTTTCTTGCTGGACCCTGAATCTTTGCATAGACTACCGGAATCAGAGTGATGAGATAAAGCTCCATTACTCTGAAGATTTTGTACCTGCAAAGGCAAGTCCTCTAAGGAAAATCGGAAGAAACTACTTCTCTCACCTTGTCTTTTAGTTTCTCCATCCAGCTTCTCACTAGGGAAAACAAGAGAATAAAATGTTAACAGCCATCATTTTACTCGTGTTTTATTGCATTAATTCGATAACATACTTCATGATATTAACTTGATACAATATTTTATTGTATGAACTACAGTAAAAGGGTGAACAGTATTCACATAATGACAGAATAGCCTTGTTTTTAATTCTCATTTATTTAAAAAATGGGACAGAGAGCACAAACGTATCCCTCATATCATTGTTAGATGAGCAGAGAGTATTTTGCTAAATGTGTTTTTTATTATTATTAAATGCCTTGGGGGAGGTCTGGGGAAGGAGAGGGGAAATCACCTTTATAATATCAAGCTCCTGTCTTATCCAACATTTTCTCCTGAGCTGGATTCCCCTCTGTTCTGTTTGTAAGCTCAAGGAGAGCTCTGCACTTGAATCAAGTCAGAGCAGAGCAAGGAGGGGAAGCGGCAACGGGCAGGGCAGGTCGGCCCGGTGCTCGCTCCAAAGAGAAGCATTTGCTTTCGCATTTGAAGAAAGATTTGACCAAAGGCAAGAGAACAGGAAGCACTCCCGAAATATACATAGCTTGCGAAGTGTGCCATTCCATCACAACATGACCACTATGAAAAAATAGAAGCAACAATCAAGTAATATTTATAAAAGGCAACTGGAAAGAACTATATCAGCTATGAAGTGTTTCATAGACCATTATTACAACCATTTGGAAACGCGTGTGCCAAGGAGAGAAGAAGGCATAGATCAAAATGAAAACATTAGTTAGCGTGACAGTGTAAAGGGTGGTTTGAAGTTAGTGGTAGGATTTTTCATCCTTACCTGACCTTTAAAGTTATAAAACTGAATGAAAATTCCTTTTTAAAAAGCATCAAAAAGGAGAAAACAGACAAAATACATCCTCATTTTACCTTTATTATCAAACAAGGGAAATTAGTTTTTAAAAAACCCTCCAAGATTTCCTTAAATTTCTTTTCCTCTCCAGTAGCTTCAACAGATAGGAAGGCAGGACACAGACTGGACGACCCAGAAATGGCTCCCGAAAGGCACGGGCCAGGCCAGAGCTTGGCACGTTTTTCTTTGAAAGAGCCAAATAGTAAATATTTTAGACTTTGCAGGCCACACACTCTCTGTCACAACTCTGCTGCTGCAATAAGAAAGCAGCCACAGCCCAGCTGGCATGGCTCAGCTATTCAGCATCGACCTAGGATCCAGTAGATGGAGGTTCGATTCCTGGTCAGGGCACATGCCTGGATTGCTGGGTTTGATCCCCAGTAGGGGCGTGCAGGAGGCAGCCAATCAATGACTCTCTCATCATTGATGTTTCTCTCTCTCTCCCTCTTCCTCCTCTCTCTGAAATCAATAAAGACATATTTAAAATAAAATAAAAAAGAGAGAGAGAGAGAGAGAGAGGAAGGAAGGAAGGGAGGAAGGGAGGAAGGGAGGGAGGGAG